TCTACTGCTTACTATATTTTGATTCTGCTATAAACTGGTAACGTAAAATTTAGATATGACAACGCGCTTTACTCTCAATCATTATTGGTTTTACTATAGGTATTTTTATTAATTGTATTTTTTTTGATTTACTCTTTTCAGTGGAACAGCAGATTTTGAAAAAAACTGTCGACATATAGTCGATAGTTTAAGTTGTATTTTAAGTTTTTTTTTGTAAAAAAACGGCCGTAAAAAATGGCAGATATATGCGCGAAACCTCAAATGGCAAAAAGATAAGAATGATTTGAGCGAAAAATAATATCAAGTTAATTTTTCATCAACCTTCTTGGAAATTTTCACCTTTTACAATCTGAAAAAACAAGAATTGTAACGAAGAAATTTATACAGATTTAGAAAGGCAATTTTTCAGTTCACCCCGATAAGTTACTGCGTAAATTCAAAGTATTTTTGGCAAAGAAAAATTTTCTATTTATCATCAACTTGTATTTAATAATTTTGCCTATCAAAAAAGTTAAAAAATTGTATGGGTAATTATATTAACGTTTCGTAGCGCTTCATCATCGTAGCGCAGAAGGAGGATACCGTCTTGAAAATAAATCTGTTCTATTTAAAATCTGTTTTTCCGTTAATCAGCTGTCGCCCCCCATACGAACGCCCTCAGAAGTTGAGAAATTTGTGCGAGCTAAGGACTAACGAGGTCCTACCTTTTAACGTGTGATTCCTAAAACTGTGCGAGAATGGATTGCCAAAGGAGTGAGGCCGGAGTGGCAAGAGATTCCTAAGCACGGCCAGCAGGAAAAGGATTACTGGCTCCAATGGGACTCCATGAGCAATCAAGATGACTTTCTCACTCGGAAATGGGAAAAGCCCGGATGGAAGAACCCACAAATTCCAGATTATCCTTCCTAAGACGTGTATCCTTGAAAAGCTCCACGATGGTCGCATTGGAGGGAATTTTGGAGTAAATGGAACTCTAGCGAAAGTGCGCGAGAGGTACTATTGAGTCATTTGCCGTCGAGACGTGGAAGAGTGGTGTAAGCGCTGTGATCTGTGATCTTCGAGAAAGGGTCCGAAGACAAGTCAGAGAGGAAAGTTGAAGCAGTACCTCAGTGGGTGCCCTTTCGAGAGAATCGCAGTCGACATTTTGGGACCACTCCCTATGACCACATCCGGAAACAAGTACCTTATGATTGTGATGGACTACTTCTCCAAATGGACTGAAGTAGTAGCCTTACCCAAATAAGAGGCTAACACGGTGGCAGAAGCCTTGTTGCAGAACATAATTGCCAATTCCCAACTACCCCAAGAATGACTCTGTTGGGAATGAAGAAGACAAGAACAACTGCTCTCCACCCACAATCCGATGTAATGGTCGAGAGGCATAATCGCACCATCATGTCTCCAAAAACCAAAGAGACTGGGATAAATTGGTCCCCCTTTTTCTGTTGGCATACAGGACCTCCCAACGGCGACAAGTTACACACCATCCATGTTATTAACTGGTAGGGAAATGAAGCTTCCGATGGATGTATTGTGTGGCAGTCCTTTCGATCTTAAGAGGTACCTCTTTCAGAGTATGTGAATGACCTGAGGGAGAGACTGGAAATTGTACACGAATTTGCCAGGACCAAATTACAGCTTTCCAGCGACAGGATTAGGATAAGATTTGACAAAAAGTCGCTGCCAGTGAGCTTCAAGAAGGGCGATACAGTGTGGCTCTACCAACCCCAACGTCGGAAAGGTTTTTATCCCAAG